TACAACATTTTCCAGATCAAGAAGTAGTGACACTAAAGATTGCATTCCATGTCAAGCAAACAACAAACACTTATCTGCCAACTAAGCACATCTCACTCATCATCTGCCAGAGTGCCAGGCACACGTGTCTCCAATCCATCAACAAAGGGCTCCACACAATCTAATGAATTTTAAGGGACAAGGTGGACGTATATGGTACGTATTAAGCCTTTTCAGCAGTCCTGTACTTTGATTACTTTCTCCTTAATAAAAAAGTATACGTGGAAAACATACAAAACTATCATGTAAAGCTAAAAGCTAGCTAGCTTTTGATTGGGTCTTTTGGGCTTCTTAGGTTTAAGAAGCTAAAAGCTAGCTAGGTTGAAACTGTTTGACATGTTGGGTCTAACTTCTCCTCAGATAATTTTTAGCCATCTAAGCGGATAAGAAGAAGCCATTTTTTATCTTACTTCTATATACTGTGCAAAACCATAGAGAGTGTTTCCTAGTTTTAATTAACAATATGTACAAGTACAATTCAATTCAAAGCTTAGTAGAAAAGCTTCCTAGGGCCGGAGATAAAACATTATATATAATTTTTTGGTGACTTAAAAGACATAACTCTGACTTTCTTATTTGTTGAAGCAATGGCGCTTGATGACTTGATTCCATTTGATTGATTAACTTAATTAATTCTGTGATTTTGATCTTTGAAATTCCTGTAGCATCGATCCATACTTCAGTATGTTTGTTGAGATTAAGTCAATGACAAGTTAAACCAGTGAGGATTTAATTGAGTGAAGGGACTGCCATGCGCCAACTGTACGAGAGTATTATTGGTGGAAATGTGCCACAGTGCCAGTAAAGCAGGACAATGATCTGCGTTGTATTCATGCCTAGTCTAGTAGACACAATCTCCAACCGTTGCCATGTGCCAACTCTCAATGAGTTGGGTCAGGTCTGAATTTTAGTAGACACAATCTCCAATCGATGAATAATTAGGCTGCATTTGGCATTCCTTATTTTAAGGGGTTTATTTCTTTTTTATTTTTTAATTAAAAACTTGGTATTCATAGAGGCATTTTAACAGCAATTGGGAGATAAAGTGAATGTCAAATGCAGCCATAGTCATTTATTAAAATACCCTTTGTAGTTTCATAGATTTATTAAAATTTACCCTATAGTTTACATTTTATTAAAATACCTCATATAAATTGCAATTATTTTACTTAAGAATCCTTTGTATTTCTGTCTAAAAATGGTAAAATGACCATAAAAACAGAGTGAAAAATGTTTAAGGGCATGAATTCAAGCTTATTATTTCAAAAATACCCCTGAAACTTCATGTACAGCTTGTAGAAAGAAACAAGATTTGATTTTTAGATCTATCAAACAATATTTGGCTTCAATAGAATGAAGAAGAGAGAATTAATAATGGCATCCAGAGTTTTTTTTTCGACATCAATAACATATCTTCCTTCAGACAACAAATTTTACCAAATAGAGTTGTCCGTATTTTATTAGGGACAAAAATGACATTTTAATTTTTCTCTTTTGTATATTAAATTTGTTTGAAGGGATGTTAAGGTAAAAAATGTGAATTTCTTGAAAGGTCGATTAAGCGTGTGTTTTGTTCTGCGGGCATTTTATGATAGGTGTTTATCAAAACGTCACCATGTCATCGCCAAATCAGCATTTTTTCCATCATATTCATCTGTACGCATTGATATTCAAAAAAGTGGGTTTTGATTTATGTACGCACCAACCGTTGGGGGAACTTAATTTTAATGCTTCCCCCAACGATTGAGCATTTGTTCACTATTCCGTTGATGTAACATCTATTTATCTATATGCAGTTTATCAAATAATTTTCTTAGGTTTGAAGATAATTCAAATATAAACATTTATTTAATAAAACGAAAGCTATACCAAACACATACTAGTAATTGTCTACAAAATATGGGGTAAGTTTTAGTAAATGACCCAAATAAAATAAAGGGGTTTTTACCGTTCAGTCCACTTCTGAGATCCTAACTCTACCGTACAATTAGGAATAGGTGCCAGCTTGGAATTAATGCCAATTTACAATATATAGAACCAATCAAATCAGTCCCAAACCAAACCCTATAACCGAAGTATTAGGTTAATTTGCTGAATTGACATGTTTGTACGTGATAATATTACAACCATAGCATACCATATTTGTACGTGATAATATGATAATAATATAACCATAGCATACCATGTGAAAAAAAAAGACAAATATTAGACCAAGGGCATAGACAGATGATATGGACAGTTGGTTCGGGTTTAAACAGTTTTAGAAATAACCAAGACTAATCCCGATCCGTGAGAGAGATGGTGAGGAGGGTCCACCAATCTAACTGTTTTGAATGGTAGATGATGGGCCCACAAAGGCCCAGCGTTAAGTGTTTAGTATAATAGTACGAAGTGAACATGGAAGGCATCAGATAGAGTCATTTTTTGTTTGATCTGCTGGCATTGGCAACCTTATTAAGACAAAACCCTAATAACTTATTAACATACAAACCAATCAACAAGTGTCTGTGCATTTGAGGTTAATTACCGTGTTTATGCTAAATCCATCCAATCCATTGTAATTTGAAAAAGTTGATGAGTATCTGATCCTTGGGCTTGCGCTATGTTCCTCGTCTTTCGAGTCTTTGGAATTGCTCGCTTCCGCTCCGCGAGTCTGTCTCGACTCTGGGCTCTGGGCTCTGGGCTCTGGCGACTCTGCCCATCTCCTGTATCTTCTCCGTATATGCTGTATGCATGCACACCACACCCAGGGTCCGGTCGGAAATCGAAATCGTCCGATAGCTGGGTTGCAACTGCTCTGGCATGTCTGAACTCGACCTGGACTGGATCTAATTATCGGATTTTTTCGTGCTAATTATATAAATATCGGATTCTGAAACTTACTTTCCTTTTAACTGTTTTGAGCATTTGATATTATTTAATAATTGCCTAATAATTTACCAGAAATTCCGATATTAGCTGTTGCTTCCTTTTTGTCAGTGTTGGTTAAATGTTTGTTCTTAGTGAACCCATTGATTTCAGAATATTATAAATCGATAAAACCCGAATTTACCCTTCAATCAAATCATGTATACTTAGATGGATTAAAATATACTCAGTTGTTTCATAAAAAAAAAAAATCAATTTGTTTTCTTACCTAAAACAACATCTTTGGTATTGGACCACTCTTTTGCTTTGGTTAAGGTGTAAATGGACTAAAAATGTGATGGTTTTTTCGGTCATTTAAAAAATGTCACAAATAGACAGAACTTACCTGTGATTGGTATTTTCGTTATTAAAAAAAAAATTCTGAAATTATGGCTTTTTTCTATATTTTTCCAATGCAATTTCATTTGCCCTGATGCAAAAGTATGGAGATGCAAAAGAATTGAGAGCTAATTATTGTTTATATTTGTTTCAGCTTTTAGTTTGTTGTTTAATTTGTTTGCATTGCGAATGAAGTAGAGTCTGAAACAAAATACAATAAAATCTGAAGTAAAAATAAACTACAATTTGCAGTCCCATAGATTTGTACTAATAGTCTAATGCTAAGGCTTAGTTTGGTTAGAGTGCAAATACGACTATGTACAGTGCAAATACAGTATACAAGGGTTTGCACTGGCTGTATTTGGTTGCAGTACAAATTTATTTGCACTAGTACAATGCATAAGAGTGCAAATATAAAAAAAATGCAAATTCTTGTTTAATTTTATTTTGGATTTTATTTTATTCTGCTTCATGTCTTAATTTACTTCATTTGTATTGCAATCAAACAAAACAAACTAAAAATTAAAACAAAAATAAATCACAATTTACATTCAAATCATTTGCACTGCAAATTTATTTGCATTATAACCAAACACAGCCATAAATATTTACATTTGTACTCCCCCAAATTGAGATTAAGGCTCAGTTTGGAAGGAGTATAAATACAAATATGTAGAGTGCAAAACCTTGTATTTTGTATTCTTTTGTATTTATTTGTACTGTATATATTTGTATTTGTATTCTTTCCAAACTAAGCCTAATGCCCAATTTGGAAAGGGTACAAATACAAATATGTACAGAACAAATACATACAAAATATAAGGTTTTGCAATATAGATATTTATATTTGTACTCTCCCCAAATTAAGACAAAATGAATTTGCACTGCAGTGCATCCTATTCAACTAATCAAGGTTTTTAAAACCGACCCGGAGAACAAACCGATTAAGGGTCCGGTTCCCGGGTCAAACAGTGAATACAAATTTTGCATTTGATTGTTTGTAACAATCATTTGTAAAGTGTGCCTGATACAAAATTTATACTTTTTGTTTCATTTGCAGTCTTTGGCAGAGTAAATTTTGTATTCATAAATTGATGCAAAATTTGCACCAACTTCCTCTTACACTAATTCCCTTGAAATAAATGCTTTTTACCTCAATGTCAAATAAATAACCTTCCTCCTACCTCTATCCTCTTTTAAATAAGGTTTACTTGTCTGAAACAAAAACAAAAAAGACAAGTCAAAATATAAAGCAAAAGTAAATCAGAATTTCGCACTCTGTGCATTTACACAAATGCAAATAAAATTTGTACTAAAAACAAATTATCAAACAATTGAAATAAATATACTTTTATGAAACACAATCCAAGCGGGGTAACCGATACAAGAGATCATGATCCGCCTTCTGGATCCACCAGTTGTCAAGAAGATCCCAATTGCACTGTTAGGATCATACAAGCAAGAGCATGATTCCTAGTTTCCTATTATTCCTACGCCCCTGGGAAATTTCATTGGGGCTCATATATGTTTCATCTCTAAAATCAAGTTAACATGGTAAGCTTTTTGGATATTCCAAGAAGGATACGTTTTAAACACTAAAAGTATAGAAGGATAGATTTGTCATTTAGCAGTAAAACTCACATTTATTAATTGCAAAATATCCCTCAATAATTCTAGATCTTCTGTCTCACGAGAGAGAGAGAGAGAGAGGCTACAATTTACAATTCACTGGCTGAAGCTGAATTACATTTAATTGATCCACCTTTCTTGTCGTCTATGCATTCTCCTTAAGAAAAGTTAAAACCTTCTCTCACTCTCGATTTGGGAAGTTCCATCCACCTTGTTTCTTCCCACTCCACCTTTTTCTTTCTCTTCTCCTTCTCTACTTCTCCATTTCTCCTCCACATATCATTAGTCAATCAAGTTTAGCTTTTGTAATCTGCAACCCATCTTCTGCAGGACCAAACTTCTTTTTGTTCCCTTTTCTTCTTTTTGCATCACTCCGTCCCTTTTCTTCTTTTAAACTGCAGGACAAGTGTTTTACTTAGTGTCTCCAACAACTAATTACCAAAGATGAATGACGATGAAGCTTGATGAGAGGAGGAGGAGAGGCTTTTCTTCTGAATCTCAAACTTTGCGATCTCAAGACATTAACGCCCGTTCATTATAAGGTAATATTTATGTTGTTTCTTCTTTTGCTTCGCATTAAATAAAGCAGAGATCCCAAATCACCCTATTCTCTGCCATATCTGTATCTACTAAGATCATGGATTTAATACATATGAATCGCCTTTGGGTCTCCTGCTGCACTACTGTTAATGCTCGAAGCATTTAGTTTTCTTCATGGGAAGTTTTCAGAAAATCCAAATTCATCCAACCAGACCCATCTCTTCTTTTGTCTGTTTGTCTGTTTTTTTTTTTCTCCTTTTTTCATTTCTTTCGTGTTTGGTATCTTAAAGGAGCTGTTGGACTTGGATCTGTTCTGGATAATCTACCATGACAAAGATGAAGGGGATCTATAAGGGGTTCAAGTACCTCTCCCAAATCTTTGGTACTGCCTCCTCCTTATTTAAATCTTTTTGCCATTTATTATCTCCTTTCATGGGTTTTATGCTCTCTAGGCTGAAGACGAGAAATGGGTTTGCTTTTCAGTCGGCAAGGACCGTGATATGGAGATTGGGTACCCAACAGATGTTAAACATGTTGCACACATTGGGTGGGATAGCCATTCTTCCAATGCACCCAGCTGGGTACTTAACATTTGCTCTGTTTCTCATTTTACACGTATGGATTGATCTGTTCAGTCTCCTTTTCTCTTTCAATTCTGAGAGAGTTCCTTGTTCTTCTATCTGCTACGTAGATGAACAAATTCAAGACTTCATCAGATTTCTCAGCTACGTCTCTAAGCAAAATTAGTGACCCAAGGGATCCCAATCTCAGTGCTGTTTCAACTTGGTCTTCTCAAGGTATGTTTGATACCCTCTCTTTCAATCTTTCTCGTAAATGAAACAGAAGTCCAATTTCTTATGGTAATATAGTGGTAATTGGGTTTGGTTTGATAGAAAATAAGTGAGAAACAGGGAGCTAAGGGAAAATTGTTAACAAAATTTGTGAAATTCCATACTAACTTTTCCCCACCTTTCTATTTTCCATGAAACCAAAACATAGACTCCTCAGTCTTTAGGGTTAGTTTCGTGAATGTGAGAGAGAGAGAAAGAAAGGTGGAAGATGCTTTGCTTCTACAGTGAGGTAGGGACCCTGTTACCCCACGGGACACGCTTTCCTACAATCCAATAATAATAAGAAGAGGGAGGAGCTACAAGAACAGAGGGAATCTTGGATGGGCAAATTGACAGCCTATCCCCCCCTTGACAAAGAAAACGGTCAGGATTGATTCGCTGTTACATTAAGTATTTTGGAATTATCATATACTACAATTTATAATTACTATTTATCTAAAGGAATGATTCTGTTCGGTCACGGTCTCCCCGGACGATATTCTTTTGTCGGGTGCGGTGGAGCCCACACTCGGTTCATGAGAGGATGGGCCCTGGTTTCTAGTGTAGCTCTCTGATCACCGTCACTTCACAATCATAGGATGACTAATGAGCGCTGAATCCATTATTCAACCTGAAGCCCAGGCCGATGACCCTACAGTACAATTGGTCACTCGGTTCTGAGCTGCTCCGCGTTGTGGGTGCTACTGCTATATTCACTAACTCCTATGGGCTATGGCTGTGGGATTCTACTTCGTTTATCAGAGAGTACATATTAAGAATTTTTTTTTTTTTAATTTCTCAACTTGCTCTTAATCTCTTATAGACCCTTGTTTTTGTTTGACATTGGGCACTCAATCAGAAGATTTAGTGGTCGGACTAATAATGATAATTAGTAAGTGATGTATTACAAGTTGGAGACGGGGAGGGTTTTGGGTGCAAGTAGTTAAAAATGATTTGAGCCCTTATAATTTAATGATGATATTGCATTGAACAGAACGGAATAGTAAAGTCTATCAAACATGAAAAGAAAAAGAATGAAATGGAATAATAGGATGTATGTAGTCGATCCTATATGGTTGGGATAAGGCTTAGGATGATGATAATGATGATAATTAATAATAATATTAAATATTTCTAATACCCCAATTTGATTTGTATGTGAGGAATTCAAATCAGCCCCCACAAGATAGTTTCTCACAATGTTATACAGTACATTCTTGTCGTGTATTAAAAATATCTCTCACATCTGGCTTTTGTATCACACTCGTTTCAGAGGATTTAACTTTATTTGGGGCTGTTGGGGAGGGTTGAACTGAAGATTCAACTAAACTGGTTCTTCAAATAAACTATTCAAAGATGTTGAAGTGGACAGTCTTTCAAATGACTGATTGATGATAATAGATTTGGGCCTTGATAAACAAAATTACTAATTAAACTAGTTTGCTGATTTGTTCATCGACAGATTTCGAACGATCTATGGGACCTCAACAGGCTTCTCAAATGACCAACGACAAGAAACACCGGAAGAAGACCAAGTCGACGTCCTCGTCATCCTCAAGGTCGTCAAGAAAATAAAATCCTCTTCATTTGCTGGCACGCTAACGGCTAACCTAAGTGGAGACTGCACCTAATCATCAAGGATTAATATTCTAGCCGTGTAACATGAAGTTGGGGCAATACAAAAGCTTTTAGAAAAAACAAAACATTGGAATGTAGAAAGAAGGGGGTGATGAATTCCCCCAGTTGCGCTTGGGATGTTCACTCTCAAGGGCAGAAAGAAGAAGGTTGAGTGGTTGGATGATAGTTTTTCATTCCCGTGTAAAGCAAAAAAGTTTGTTTTTTTTTGCTTCACTTGTACTTAGTTTAGATTTAATATATAGCTAAAACAATGAAAATAAGAATTTGGTATGGTAAAGAGATGAAGAGGGTTATGTTTGAACCAACGTAGCTTAATTAAACGAGAGGGTTATGTCTGAACAGAGAAACATGGATAGAGTCAAAGTAGGAAGAAAGATGGATATTTTATCATCTTGATCTTTTAAATCCTATAGTCAAAATTATAGAAATTCTGTTGTGACTTGTAAGAGTCACCATTTGTGAGATCCATTTAATTGGATGGTCGTGATTGATAATGACCTACACCCCTTGCATATTATAGATCAATAAGACTCTTAGCCCCAAGGCTATACATTGAATACCCTGTACTCGTGAAATTTCAATTTGTTCTGAAAATTTTGTTCGCTTTTGGTGAAGTGTTTAATTGTTTCTAGACTTCTTTTGCAGGAAAATGGAACAATGCATTATACAATTTGTTGTGTTTGTGTCTTTCACTTTTTATTGTAATTTATTTCTTAACCTGCTCCGAATAAGTTGAAATAAAACACCAAAAGCAAAATTTCATAATGGTTTATACTTGTATGTAATAAAAGTGTATGGGCCCATCCATTTTTAGCTTATGGGTTTGACGTGAATACTTGTTCCGAGGTTTTTCTTTTGGGTTCTACTATGATATGGAAAATATATGATATTAAAAAACAATTGACCTATAAACTGTAATTATAAATGTGATAGCGGGTGTTATTTATCAATATTCATGGGTGGATTTTGATTGGTCAAAACTCTTTTTATATCATATCTTTTTCATACTAAAGATTTTTCCTTTTCTTTTTATTTATCTTTTGGCTTGCAAAAGAAGCAGAGTTCAAAGAGTTTGGGTGTATTGCGGTTTAGGGTTTCTGCGGGAGAGGGCTTATACAACTTTGTAGATTTCAGCTCTCCTTTTGCCCATGGATATAGGCAATAAGACGAACCACATAAATTTGTGTGTGCCTTGTTTCTTGTTTCTCTGTCTCTTTTTAATTCTTCGTGTGTTATTCAAATCTGTGCTTTTTTGGGATTTCATAACACAATCTGATAAACTTACTAAATGGACGAGGAGACTAAGCTAGGCTTTTTGGAAGTTACTTAACTATTGCTTAATTGTCATGGAGGATAAGTTAGATATGTTCATGGCAAGGATTTGGGCTTGGGTTTTGCGTCAGGCCCATTCAAATTTTGACAAAAGCTAAGCCTGATGAGCCTGACGCATGAACAGGTCTAAGTATAAGTAAATGTAGGGTTTATGGTCCCATAGATGTAAGAGAAGAGTGAATATAGTGGGAAATAACGAGACAATTTTTAATCGTACAAACATGTTGCAACACTAGCTAGTTTTGTCAAAGGGCAAGCAATAAATGTTGCTTATTGAGACTATGGAGTTTGCAATGATTTGGGTGCAATTTTAGTTGGTAGCTTGTGTGTGCAAAAATCTAGAGCCATATATTGTTGTATTAATATTAGGGATGGCAGTAGGGCAGATTTGGGGAGGGTTTTGTAAATTTTAGACCCTATCCACCTCTCTAGACCTCCCAACCTGTACCCTCCTCAAAACCCGGAGCATGTTAGACTTTTATAATCCAAACCCTCCTTGTAGATAAAAATGCAAAATGTGGCAAGTTGGGTTGGAGGCGAGTCTAGAACCTGCATATAATTTCTTACTATTTCCTATATATATATATATAAGCAATAAAAAAATAACATGAACAAACATAAAAAATTTCAATTATTTGATTAAAATATGTAGAAAACATATAAACTATCAATCATCCTTCACATAAAATTCAAAATATTATTAATTCAACAACTAATACATAATTTCATGTCTTTCAACAATATGCGGGTTAGGGAAAATCAGATTTAGCCTAATATTGTATCTTACCCATACCTATACGGGTTGTAAATTCCCAAAACCCGTCCCTGCCCCAAAATCTATTTTTCAAAAAAAAAAAACTTACAAGTGTCCTATGTAAAAGTACTTTTGGAAAAGTGTTTTCATAAAAATACTTTAACAAAAGTACTTTCATAAAAGTGCTTTCGTAAAAAATACTTTTGTAAAAGTTCTTTAATAAAAGTACTTCCGTAGAAGTGCTTTTATAAAAGTACTTCGGTAAACGTGCTTTTATAGAAGTATTTACGTACAAGTGCTTTTACAATAAATTCTTTCATAAAAGTACTTTTGTAAAAGTTCTTCCATAAAAGTACTTTTATAAAAGTACTTCATAAAAGTGTTTTTATTAAAGTGCTTTCATAAAAGTGTGTAAAAGTACTTTTATAAAAATGCTTTCATAAAAGTACTTCCACAATAGTTCGCTAGTAAACATCTATCGCAACAGTTTTGCAAACAAAGTTTCCTCAAAGAATGAAAATGACCAAGATGGGGCATGATTATTTTTCATGTTGTAAGCTACCTCAACTTTTGTACTATGGGCTGATTTTTCATTCTAAAAAGAATATGGCCCATGGCAAGAATTTTATAACCAAACATTGTAGTGTTATTCATTCTTGCTCATTCTTGCCCAAAATGAGTAAGAATTAAAAGAATGAGCCCTTGAACCAAACATGGCCTTATTTAACCATGGTTAGGTTATGATTTGATTTGAAAGTTTGACTTGTTTGGGATTTAGATAAATGTATTTTTGTTTATTTACATATACTAACTAATAAGTACATATGTGCTTTGCTCGTAGTAATTTTTTTATGATGATGATAGTAAATAATATTGTTTCAAAATCTTCTACATTTTTTTATATTTCTATGCATGTTTATAAAAATTATTCTTATTTTTAACACTTATTCTTATTTAATATGATAAATATATGATATGAGAGAGGTTCCCAGATGTTTTCTACAATTTTTTTTGTAGTTTTGATATTTATGTGTATTTTCATCTTTTTTTATTTTTTTATTTATTATTATTTATTATTATTTAATTATGACATCAAGGGTTTACACACTTGACCCAAAAAAGGTTGCATTGTTGGCTCACCACCAAATAAGAAAAGGGAAAATTCCCGATAGGTACCTTGTACTTTAGGCCAAGTGCCAATTTAGTACCCGAACTTTAAAACGTGCAATCTAATACCCGAACTTTCATTTTGCGACAATCTAATTCCTACCGTTAATAGACCGTCAATTATGTATATCACGTGACCTCATGTGTGATTTAAGACTTTTAAAAATGTCAAAATTACCCTTGGACACTATTCATCTTCTTTCTCGAGAAAATGAAACAGAGCCCAAACACATTGTTCATAGACCTGTTCATGGGCCGGGCCGGGCCGGGCTCAGGCCGGGCTTTTACTCTTCATTAACAGAAATATATTAGGCCCGAGCCCGAGCTCGGCCCGACCAACAGGCCTACAACTTGGGCCCAAGCCCGGCCCTAATAAAAAGCTCGAAGCCCGAGCCCAAGCCTGAAGCCCGACCTAATAAAAAAAATTAGAAATTTTCTCTATTCAATAATCAATATAAATCAGAATTTATTTACATTAAAAAAAGTATAAATTCAAAATTTATTTATATTAAAAAAAGAAAAAGGGAAAGAGGATGTGGAGAATAAGAATTCAATTGGAAAAAGAAGGGAAAGAGGTGAAAAAAAGATGGGTATTCAACTAGGGTTTTTAGGTTTGGTTATAGGTCGGGCCAGGCTGGGCTCGGGCCGGGCTATTTTGGAAAATCCCGAGCTCAGCTCGAATTTATTGCAGGCCAGCTTTTTGGCCCGAGGTTAAGCCCGCAGGCCTATATACCTGTTCAAGCCCGTCCAGGGGCCGGGCCAGCCCGTCAGGGCACCCGGCCCATGAACAGGTCTAATTGTTCATCATCTTCTTTCTCAAGAAAATGAAGATCAGGTTCCGAGAACCCAAATCTCTTGATGGAGGTAAAGCCTCCATCCACCACCAGCTAGACGTTTTTCTCCGCACCGAAGAATGCTTGCAGCAATGGCTCCGGCCATGCCTGGTTCCACCCCAACATCGCCACCAAAGAAGCTTTTCATCAGTAGCCCAGTAATACGCCCTTAACCTTACAATATTGGGGTGCTTAACGCGTCCGATTGCCTGTACCACCGCTGCAAATTCTTTATAACTTTGTCCTCCACCTTCACCCAATCTCCTCACCACCACCAGAACATGCAGCTACAACTGTCGGAATCTTTTTCTTCCAGTATTCCTCTTCCCTTTTGTTCAAATAGAGTTGCAGCGGTGACGACATCCCTCTTAGTCCGATCTCTTCTCCTTCTCTCCTCTCTCTTCTTCTTCTTCCACCATCAAATCACTGAATTCATTTTCAAACACTATTCATCTTCTTCATAGAGAAGCAAAGCGGCGGCACATTTGAAACCGTTTTGCATTCCTCAACTTCTATTCACTACTGCAACTTCCGGTGGTAGATCTGAACCCACGGTGGTTTTCGTTTCTTCTACCTCCTTCTTTCTCTCCCACATTCTCATTCATTTTCATTGTTTTCTCTTTCTCTCTCTATGCCACACCCTGTCCCCTGGTTATAGTCTGATCATCGTCACCAAGTTGGAGCGAAAGTTTGACCATCGAATCGTCATCTTTGATTTAGCTCCAGATCACCGTCACTAGGTAGTCTCTCACCATAGTTGTTGGTTGTATCCCGGATCTAAATCCCAGTGGAATAGTAGCCATTTGGGTGGCCGGTAGGACTAGTAATGAAGCATTTGTAGAATCAGTTTCGTTATGTAGACGATGAGCAAACCAATGACCGCGACTTCGACAGTGCTTGCAACGGCAATTAATATTATCAAACTTGGTTTTAGCCCTTTCTTTGAATTGGTATCAGATACCGTCACCAGCAGTCTGCCAAGTGATCTTACTGTCGGTTTGAGGGATTTGTCCGCTGAGGTTGTTATGCCTAAGATTGAAGCTTACTGTCACCGGCAGTCTGCCAAGTGATCTTGGGATCTCGCTAGAGAAATGATTGAAGGAGAGGTTTAGAGTCCTAGAAAGTGATTTTCAAATTGCTGAGATCAGCTGGGGTCGATCTGTTGAATTCGTTTGACGACAAATCGAGTTGAACCAAGTTGTCGAGATTGGGCCAAATTCCGTCGGGAATCTCGCCAGAGAATTTGTTACCGGAGAGAACAAGCCTCTACAGCTGAAGGTGGGGGAGATGGTAGATCGAAGGGCATTTTTGTATTTTTGCATGCCACTTAACGACTAGTTAACGTTGGGTACTAGATTGTCGCAAAATGAAAGTCTGAGCACTAGATTGCCGTGTTTTAAAGTTCAGGTACTAAATTGGCACTCGACCTAAAGTACAAGGTACCTATCGGGAATTTTCCCATAAGAAAATAACTCCATTTTTTGTGTTGGTTTTAAATTTGCATTGTATTTCTATCATTAATAAAAATAAATGTTCTTTGTCATACTTATTTTTCTTTAATATGGTTAATTAATACAGGATTTAATAAAAGAATGAGTGTTAACACTCTAAATATAAGACTTAATGAGAAGGAATTAAATGAGGAGAAGTGTAGTAATTGAAATTACATTTTGTGCCCTTAGGGGCCAAATTCAAAAATAGGGATATTCTATTCAAGAATAGGATTCAATGAATGTTAATGAGAATTAATATTAAATATAAGACTTAATGAGAGGAATTTGAATGAAGAAAAAAGTGATTGTTCAAATTATGTTTTTGTCCTCACAATTATGGAGTAACCAAAACAAAAAATTGAGGTACTTTAGTCAAACCAAAGTTCCACACTCTCATTTACACTTTGGCTGAATTTTGGAGTGATTATTTGAAAAATAAATGATAGACTTATGAGAATTTGGTGACAGCACTTATTTCAAACAGTGGGTAGTATAGGTATTTTGAAAAACAGGCCAAAAAAATAATAGGCACAAAACTTAGCTTCTTAAAGCGCTTATTCCTAAGAATAAGTACATATTGGGACTTATTTCCCTAAGGCTGCATTTGGAAACGATGCAAATGGAGTGTAAATCCTGGTTCAAGGTAAATTTGCACTCCGGTTCATTTTTTCTTGTGTTTGACAACATTATATTTATACTTTGACAAATAACAGAAAACACATTTTCTAATGCATATTTACATGGATAATGAGATGTAAAAATACATCAATTAAAAAGAAGTAAATTTGCATTAAAGTGGGCTTTTGATAAAAAAAAAAAGAGATATACTTTATTGGAATTCATATTTGCATCCATTACAGCTAAAAGTCTATTTGGTAATATATGAACCATTTTACACCCTACATATTTACATTCTCACTTATTTGAAACCTAAATAAACAGATATTAGTGTGGTCCTGACCCAAATAAGTATTATAAAATATAGATTTATGTAATTTGGTTTGCTGAGTTTCGATTCAGATATTGAAAAATATAAACAAATTTTATCAAATTGAATTTGGACCTCCCAAGACTCTTATTGCATTGGATCCAGATATACCCCTAGTTGAACTCAATTTGACTTATAATGGGTCAAATCAAATCTCTAGGGTCGAGTATGGCTGCAAATTTTACTTATACTGACACGTGATTGTATGGGAAAACGTGCATGTATTTTGTGTTGGTTGCCGGTGGTCAAAGCTGCAATGTCTAAAAACATCTCTAGACCACATTTGTTTCAAGTGCAAAATTCATTTGGACTATGTAAAATATACAGGGGGTAAAAGGAAGGTAACCGATATCTTGGAGGTAAAATATGAAGGTGATTGAAATTTTGGTTTACTTCCGTTCAGATTAACTTTACTTTTGCTTTGTTTGGTAGGGAAAGTAAAATGAGGTATAGCTTAGTAGCTAGTCCCCACTCTATGAAAGACAGACAACAAAGAGGAACGGATGCATGCATGGGCAGTAAAATTATTTAAAGTTACTTTTTTAAGATAGATGAAGTTTCACACCCTTATGGAGATGGATATGATGCGGTGCAAAATTTACACCTACCCTAGCTACTTTGTACTCAAATTAAAACAAATGCAACAATATGAGAAATGTCAATAAAATATCTGGGATAATGAAGACAAGGATGTTGAAATGGATATGAATGGTTTTAAATTAATAATCTCGTACATTTTTATAGGAGGTTGCCTTTAGCCTTCTCCCAAATACATGTCAGCCTTCATCTTCTTCCTATTTTTGCTATGGTTTGGGATTTTACCTCGCTAATTTTAAAACCGTCTGTCTTCGAGGAGCTCGGTTCATGGTACTGACAATGACCGAGTTATACGTGTTGGAATTTCCTTCTCACAAAATTGTTCCTCATACTTCTTACAGCCGTACATCGAGAATATGGGCTCGAATATGCTATCTACCAATGAATTTGGCTTCGGTCTGTGTAAACTCATTCCAACAGTCTTTACAGCCTTATTATAGTGAGAACATTTTTATATTTTTATACTTATGTGATTTATTTTACATAGAGATATTACTAATGCAAGATTGCAAGAGACTGTTCAAATGGTATAAACATGAGTTTACACCGAGCTTTTCACGAGCTTTTTCCACATCKCTACTCATGATGCATTGCCGCTGTGTATTGAGAATATCTTTCTTATCATGGGGAGATCTTCCCAACACACGGTCATGGTGTACTGTGAGGAAGGATGTGGGAACAATCATGAATAACATATCCCGAGTACTGGAATATATCTTTTTGCACCATTTGCACCGATTCTCACCAAGTTTGGTCCATTCTAATGAACCAAACTAAACCACATTCAATTCAGATTGGTTTCGGCCCATTAATATTAATATTAATATTTACAAATTTATAAATAATATATTTTCATTTTTAATATATCGTCATTATTTGTAATTCGGTTTTCAGTTAAGTTCGATTGAAATTTTTGGCGAAATGGAAACGAAACGAACCGAGAACCAAATAACCATTCAGTTTGGTTCAATTTGGTTTTCTTTGAACGCCCCCTACTACACGTGGATGAGGTAGACAAGTAGTAATAAGTAACTTGCTGGCATCCAACGTATCCATGGTACTCTGACCTCTGGTAACAAGTAACAAACTAACAACTAATAAAACATCCGATGAGGGTATTATGGTCCTGAAAAAAGTTGTACCGGAATTACAAAAAGATCTCAGACCACCGACCGTCTCTCCTCCAATTCCGACGCTTACTCAGAGGAGGAGGTTTCGGCTGACTCGGTCTTCTCTAATATTAACAACTTGGTGGGCGTGGGTTTGGGTAATCTGAGTTGAGTGTTCCCGTAACCCCATTCCTCCGTCACTCACTCTCTCTCTCTCTCTCTCTGCTGTGTACCCTTACGCGGGCCCGGGTGGTCCGACACGGACAGGCAATCGCCAGACTTACCCCCGCGCGTTCCCAGTCTTTGCAGACTCCTCAATTAAAGCTCCAAGACCTACCTGATAAGATTCTTTTCTACCCAGAAAAACCAGAGAATGTCTTAGATTCCAATGCACCAAGAATCCTAACAATATATATAATTTAAAGTAAGACATGAAAATGGCGTGGAAAGCTCTCTTCTTCGTCTTTTTCTTCATCCCTTACATAGTTTATTTAGGCGGAGCACAGGATTATGACGACGAAGAAAAACCAGCGGCCCCTCCACCTGGACAAGAAAAGTGCAACGGGATCTTCCTATCATATGTGTTCATATCCCGAGAGAAAGAGTACCCTCGTGTAAAGAACGTAACAGCACAAGCCTGGGCTTTTAAGTCCATTGCGACGGTGTTGAACGCCGGAACCGAAGAGCTCAAAGCATGGAAAATATTTATTGGGTTTCAACATGATGAGATCTTAGTTTCAGTTAGTGGTGCCATTATAGTGGATGGTGATGATTTCCCTGCTGCAGTTGGTAACGGGACGTATCTATCAGGCAATCCGCAGGTGGATTTGAAGACATCGATCGATACAGCTGGGGATATAAACCAAATTCAAGCGGAGATTGAGATGACTGGAACGCAGTTTGGGGTGAAGCCACCTGGGATTCCAATGCCCAAGACTATACAACTTGCCAACGATGGATACAAATGTCCAGCACCGACTCGACATGGTAAGTATTAATTTCTCAGTTAGCTGGTATTGCTGCAATGGTAATTCACATACATAAGTAACATCACCTTTTCGTTCTTTTTTGTTCTTTCTCCCTCCATAGTCATTCAATCTTTTTCTTTTTCTTTTTTTTTTTTTTGGTTGGATCAAACTATTCGATCTGTATTAAGAGAGATTAACTATAACATTACAATGATCCTAATCTCATCTATGTTAATAAGGCTCAGTTTGGAAGGAATATAAATGCAAATATATACAGTAGAAATACATACAGAATACAAGGTTTTGCACTCTACATATTTGTATTTGTAATCCTTCCAAAATGAGCCTAAGGGAGATTCGAATTTTGAAAAACTGGCATTGCTATATGATAATGATATCTACCAGGAATATGACGTTTCTGTATTTGGCCATTCAGGGTTTCGTATTATACAAGGAAAGTGATCCTTCCTCCTTGTATATCTATAAACATGTGCATCGGGGTATTTCATTGAATGACTTTGGCCCTCCATGAGAGACCTTCAGGAATGTAAAACAGTTTGGGTTCTCTACCGGGTTTTACTAGAAGAGCGTTAATTTCTCTTAGGAATAGCTGTGGCTCTAGGAAGGAAACTTTATTTTGGGAAGGGAATTGTTCATTAACATTCTTGTTCTATTTTGGGCTCATTATATTGTAATTTGCTTTATTTAGTAGAGCTAGGAACTATTTTGTTGGCCTTTTCCTGTGGACCTAGGGCATCACACTGAAGTCTGAACTATATAAAATCATTGTGTTTTTTGTGCTTAATTATCTTTTAATTGTTTTTTTTTTTTTTTTACTTTCTTGTAGTACCATCAATCCTAAGATTGTATTTTTGCACAACAGTAGGGATTGTCATGAAGTTGGTATATGCAAGAACGAACTTCAACAATTCCCTGGTTAGAGAAAGAATCCCTGTTCTACTACGTAGAGTGGAAATCCTCAAAACCATCCAAATGCCCACTCATTTTATATATCCAGTTGTGCTTGGGTTGAGATGTCTCACTAAACTAAATTCGACCAAACCTAACATGGTTTCCTACTGCAGAGAACCACGTTACTGTCTCAGCTTGGCTTCAGAAGTCAGCTTTGGTTTGGGTATTTTCTAATCCAAGTCATTACTGCTCCTATATGAACTAGTTGCAGAAGCCATACAGGTTGTAAACAAAGCCATTAATGCAGAGAGTGTTCAAATGTGTATCACCCCTGTCGTGTCTAAAAATTATGCTTTATAGATGATATTATCTTTTCTTGGGTTAATGTCTGCAATATGGATGATGAAGAGGTACTGAGCAGCTTGGGTTATTTCTCCAAGGTAACCGGATGGGCTTTCTAGCTGTTCTGTGTTTAACATTGTATTACCTGCTTACAGCAGAGATTCAAAGGCATCTTAACTTATTTTTTGCTATTGTTTCTGCAGGGAGCTTAATGCATGCATGTTGTGTCAGGAACCCAAAATTCAAGGCAAAAAAACCCAAAAAGATAACCAAGTTCTTGCCTCGCCAGAATGGTGATCTGTCTCTTATGTATGATGTTCTCCAAGCCTATCCAGCAAACTACTTTGCTCAGGTAACTATTGATAATAACAACCCTCTTGGACGTCTTGATCACTGGAACCTGACTTGGGAGTGGACGAGGGGGGAGTTCATATACTCAATGAAAGGAGCATATACTCATAGAAAAGATAGTGCATCATGCCTTTATGGTCCTTCTGGAAACTATTACCAGGACTTTGACTTCAGCCCTGTGATGAACTGTGAAAAGAAACCAATCATAACAGACCTCCCTCCAGATAGAGAAAAGGATGAGAAAATTGGAAATATCCCATACTGCTGTAGAAATGGCTCCCTCTTACCAACCACCATGGATGAGACCAAATCTAGGGCCATTTTCCAATTGCAAGTCTTTAAGATTCCTCCTGATATTAACCGTACTGCTATTAGTCCTCCCCAAAAATGGAAAATTAATGGAGTTCTCAATCCAGATTACAAATGTGGCCCTCCGATTAGAGTAGACCCTACAGAATTTCCAGACCCAAGCGGGCTTCAGCAAACAAGTTCAGCTATTGCAAGCTGGCAAGTAGTCTGCAACATCACCCAGCCAAATAACAAGATCTCCCACTGCTGTGTTTCATTCTCAGCTTTCTACAATGATTCTGTCATCCCTTGCAACACTTGTGCATGTGGCTGTGATGACACAGACACTTGCAATCCAGACGCACCACCATTGCTTCTCCCGCCAGAGGCTCTACTTGTTCCTTTTGCCAATAGAACAGCAAAAGCCAGAGCTTGGGCTTCTATTAAACAGTTTCACATCCCCAAGCTATTACCATGTCCCGACAATTGTGGGGTTAGCATCAACTGGCACATCAACTCTGACTACAGGGGTGGATGGACTTCTAGGATCACTCTCTTCAATTGGGAAGATTTCGACTTTGAAAATTGGTTTACAGCAATTCAATTTGGCAAAGCTTATCGTGGTTACGAAAATGTGTACTCATTCAATGGAACCAAGCTTCCAGAACTCAACAACACTATCTTCTTTCAAGGGTTACCAGGATTGAATTATCTGATTGCAGAGAAAAATGGAACACATGAGTACAGTCCACGGGTACCCGGTAAACAACAATCTGTAATTTCATTTACAAAGAAAGAGACGCCTGGAATAAACATAGCCAATGGAGATGGGTTTCCTAAAAAGGTGTTTTTCAATGGGGAGGAATGTTCACTTCCTACCGTATTCCCTATTAAGGGAGAAGGACATCATTCTCATGCCAACCTTCCACCTGTAACTTTCCTTACCTTGATGGCATATGTGCTGATGACGGGTCCCCTCCACTGATTATCATCATCCAGGCTTCTGTTATTGCTTCTGCTCTTAATTATTTGGTTTTGTTCCTGCGGTGATAACTCAACCCAACATGAAAAATTAGAGTCCTTACTTTGTAAGGAATTAGCTTTTAGTCAGAATTTCAATGTTCAGAGTTTAGTTACAGAATCTCCTTCCACAAAGAAGCAGCAACTTTCTTTTTATCAAGTGGAGGACCTTCCGTCTCTAAATATTGGAAAGGTGAGCTCTGAACAAAAGAAAAACAACCATGCAACCATGACAAATGTTGGGTACCAAAACTGGTTTCTACGATAAGTTGATTGCCTGATGCACGCAGAATAGGATCTAGGAAATATGGTAGTTTGTATGTACCAAATTAAGAGTTATATATACAAATGAAAATGGGTTTGTTTCTGATTCAGAAGTGAAGGGATTTTTTTCTAGAAATTTACCCTTTGTAGGACTAGTTCATCTTTCAGTTACTCTGTGTACTACCTGAGAAGTTCATGGCACTTGTATTACGTAGAGAAAGTAGCGTTTTTTTTTTCTCCTAGTATAGAAGGTTGTATCCAATGTTAATTCTGAACATTAAGAAAGATTTCAAGCCATTACATTAATATAATTAATGGAACTCAGCATCACCACTTTCTTCCATCGTTTTGGCTAATGTAATGGATCTTAACTATGATAGACATATGGCAAGGGTTGTCTTCTCACTCGAGCTCCCAACTTTCTATTTCTCTCTTATTTTTCTATCAAATCAAACACAGTCTTAGTGATAGTGAGGAGTCAATTTGGTGAACCACTTCTGTAAAAAAGGAATTCTAGCTATCAAGATCAAAAGGCTCGGGCTTCTTGTTAGAATGCTCCACTGTTTCCCTTGAGCAGTCAATGATTACAGTTGCTAGTTACTTGATTGATTTCAGAAAGTAATAACATTAAACAGTAAGTAAGATTATCATGGAATACTGCCTAAAACTTCAAGACCATTCCCACTACCAATATTTACTTCACTAGATATTTATAGTGATGCAGGAACCATTTTCCCAAGATATCATGCAGATATAAACCGAAAGTATAATGATTATTGAAAGAGGAACTACTTTAACAGTGCTCATGGTGATAGATCAGCTGGAGTGGGAATCATCCTTGGTAATCATAATGGCCACCATATATGATCGAGAGCTATTCCTTTACCAATGTGTTCTTTATAAGCCCAGGCTTTGGCATTCTTTCATGGTATCAAATTGGGCATGGATTTATTGATTCACTCTCTTGTTAAGGAAGGCGGTGCAGAACAAATCGCGGAGCTGCAGTTGGCAGACTCTGTTGAACCACCATGGACCATTAACGCTGTTATTGCTGACTGTAGGAGCATGCATGGCTGCCCACTTCATTTCTATTTTTGCACTTGATTGTTTTAAACCGCAGACATGGTCTAATTGTCCTGATTTTCTTTTTAGCTTTGTAATTGCAGACTGTTGCGCAAAATCTAGAAAAGCAAATTCGAATGGCACCCAAAAACAAAAGAAAAACAGAGATAAAGATAAGTAAACAAAGAAGACACACAGATTTATGTGGTTCGGCTTATAGCCCATGCCCATGGGCGAATGAAGAGCAGAAATCAACTATGAAATTAACAATAGAGAAGAATACAAATCTGTGCACTCACAACCTCACTTACAGAACCTAAACCTCAAATACACCCAAAGTCTCTGGACTTCTCTTGCAAGACAAAGACAGAAGTATACAAGAGAGAAAAACCCCAAAATACATAATTCTTTGTATTTGGTTCAGACCCATAAGCTGAATATGCCCAACCCCGTAGCCCACCACTAACCACTATGAATTTATTTCCCTTTGATTTTTTCTCAACTTAATTCGAAGTGGATTCATGAAGCAGATCGCAACAAAGACTTCAAGGCACAACCATGACACAGACTATGCAAAAATATCAGAGTAGATCGATAAATTGCATTGATTCAATATGAAAAATACATCAATATTTATAAACTCAATGGATTGAGAAATCTTAACTCAATGAGACTTATCCTATATCTACTCTCTCATTGATACTCATCTTAACAAAACAACATAATTTTTATCTAAGTTCCCTAACACGCACTCTAAAATTCATGGGGTTTAAAGATCTTCATGTGTTTGATAAAAACCTGTTGCAATGTGAGGATGATGATGTATCCAACTCTCCAAGCCTGGTGTGATGATGATGTTGCAAACCAATGATGGCATGGCGATTTAGTAGATTTGCTGTTGCTTCAAAAAGAGAGCCACGATAGGCTGTTACAAAAGTGAGCCAATACAACTAATGAGAGACCATGATAGGTCAATGAAAGCACGTTTATGGGCTGGCTTTTCGAGTCATACTAAAAACAGGCCAAGTTGACGATGGACCAACAATGACCAATAAAATTGTAATAGGTCAATAAAATGCCTTAATGGGCTGAAGCAAAAGTGGGCCTGAATGGGCATTTTTTTGGTGGGTGATTTAAGTCAATTGATTTGAATAGACCGTCCTAAGGTTTTAAAAACTGATCTGAAAATGGATTATCAACAAAATTACATGATATTTATATATCCTGTTATATTAATTATAATATATTTTTTCATATTTACTATTAAAATATTCATTTACTATGTATTTATATCTTATTTGTAGTTATTTTGATATTAAATTTAGTGTTATTAATGTATTTATAGAATTTGTATATATATTCTTAATGTATCCAAGTGTTTTCATATCTTTCGTCTATATCCATGTGTTTTTAAAACTATCCATATCCTTAACCGTACCCAACTTGTCTGACATGATGCCTGATACTTTAATTCTTGGCTAAGAGAATAAAATGTATAATCCAACATGAACTCGATGTAGTGGCCTCAATGGCTTAATCTTTTGAGAAACCTCTACATTTTCTTCTGAACATGGGAAGCACATTTAAAGGAGAGGATTCAAACAGCAATTCATAGCAGAGAGCGCTGAGACATGCGCGAGATTGGAGGACCCGAATAAGAAACAACCAAGGAGTGACTCACCATGGAAGACATAAGATGGACATAATATAATTTGAGTGGGCCAAGTACCTTGTGTTACAGAGATATAGCGTTTACTTAATTGAAGGGTGATTTCAGAATTGGAAATCAGAGAGATGAAGCACTATTATTTGATTCCCTTGATGAGAGATGAGTAGAGCAACTAGTTCATTGCAGCCTGCTTGACAAGTTTCATACGAAGAGAAGAAAGGACGATGCTTACGAAACTTGATCCAGCGGTAGCAAAAAGGAGACGGCACTAGCAGTGAGGATGTTACGAACGATAACTTTGGTGGTGAAGCGATTAACATTGCTTAGGAGTTAGGAACGGGTCAATGTCGGCTTGACATTTAAAGAATCAGTGTAGATGAATAAGTTGCATTAATTCAATATCAGAAATACATTAATACTTATAGATTTTTAATCAAATTGTAAATTAGAGCTAACGGGCTTTTAAAGACCTACTTATAAACACCTTACCACAAAATTTCATCAAAGATATCCCTTATTTAACCCTTCGTTACGTTAAGATTTTAATTTGTACTATCTCATTGGTCAATATATCCATTTCTTAAATGCCCTTGATCATACCATTTATGGACCAATCAAACCCCACCAAATGATCCAAGAGACCAATACCTCTAGAAACCTCATCGTCAGCACTTGATTTTTGCTTAATTCATTGTCAAAACCTCCATTTACCCCGAACACCGGATCAGACCATTCTGATCCTTCCGAAGTATCTAAAAAACCCCCCAAACACCATCATCAGACCTAGGACCACTTAAAATATCTATCCCTGAAATTTCAACCCAAGATTCCTCTTCGTTTATTCTTTTATCAAACTATTCCGAGCCCTCCCATTAGACTGAAGCACCCACAACCCAAATCTCCTTGATCCTAACACTTCTGAATCAATTAGACTATACAATTCAACCCTAGGCACACCAAAAACATCTACCCATAAATTTTTAACCTAAAATTCCCCCATTTGCCACATCATCGAACAAATATTCCATTTTGTATGCTCTCTTTGACCCAAATTTCTGTGATTTTGGCCCTCCAAAACCAATTAGATGTTTCCATCAGATCCTAGACACCCTAAAAACCCTACTCACAAAAATTCAGCCCAAAATACCCTTTTTTTTGTCTCTCAATTACACCAAGATTCTATTTCAAAGCTTCGCATTGATTGAATCAAGTCATTTCCGAATCTACCTAGTCTCGACACAATTGGGTTAATCTGACCCTACCAATCAACCCATAATGCTCAAAAACACCACCTTGCCAAATTTCAACAAAAAAAAAATTCCTTTATTTCCCCCTCCATCACACCAAGATTCTGTTTCAAAGTTAATAAATTAATCGAATCACTACCCCTCTAGATTTGCCTAATCTGAGCCTATTTAGACCAATCTAACCCCACCAATCAATTCAAAATGCTTAAAGATCCAATCCTATAAAATTTTAGCCAAAACTACCTTGTTTTCCCTCTATATAAAAGATTCCATTTTGGCCAATTTCATTTATTCGTACACGCAAAACCACTGTATATAGTCAAATCCATCTCCACCCCTTATTTTTTTCACCCAAAATACTCACCATTATATTAGAATTTTGTTTTAGCCTCCTTAGACCCGAATTAACTAAAATACCCCCTAAGCTTACCAAAATTACCTGAATACTTAAATTAAATAAATAAATAAATACCATAATTAATTATGGTATTTTTTAATGATATTTTATTATTAACTATGATATTTATTTAATTAATAAATAGTATTTATGAAAATATTGTTAATTAATTAATAATATTTAATTAATGGTATTTTAATATAATTAATTAGTAATTCATTAATTAAAAAGATTTGTTAATTAAGGTATTTATTTAATTATTTAACAGAATTAATCTATTTTTGTAATAGTATTTTTTATTAATTATGAAATTTAATTAAATAAATACCATAATTAATAAATATTGTTAAATAATGTATTGTTAATACTATTAATTAATTAATTAATTAATTAAAAATTATTGTAAAATAATGTTAATTAATACTGATAATTCATTAAATAAATTAAAAAGTTCATTATGAGAGAGGGAGAAGGGAGTGATGAATTGTTTGAGAGTTTTCGGTTGGGGTAAGGGAGAAAGATGAGGCCATGATGTGGCATGTTTCTACTTTATATATATATATATATATATATATATATATATATATAAAGGGAGAGAGAGATTGAAAATTTTCTATAAAATAACATAACAAAAATAGATTTATACATAAATATTGAAAATATATTTATCACAAAAATATAATAAATAATTACTAAAAATACAATAAATATAAATTTTAGTATATAAAT